ATATATATATAAATTATGACGTATTGTACAGTGGCGACTTTAGAAATAATCAAATATAGTTAAAATAGGATATAATTTATTCGTTTAAAGTTGATCCCTCAACTTTTGAAAAAGTTAACTTATTGCAGTTCATTCGATTACTCATTATATGCACATTTCGAATTTTTTGCATACTTCTGATAAAAAAGTTGTTGAAAAGGAACAATTTTGGACGCTAATTTTACACTAATCCCTCAATCACGAGCAAATTAGATTGAATTAATCTCTCTGTCGATAGATTTTTATTTGCACATTCAGAAACAAGTCGATTTTTTGTTTTTAAATAACTTTTCACCAAAAGTATGCGAACAAAAATTCGAAATGCGCATACATGTACAAACGATAATGGAATGAGCTATAGAAAGTTAATTTTTTTGTCAAAAGTTTAGGGACCAACTTCACACACCACGCACGAGTGTATAATTTGACATTATCTTAACAGTGTAACAGATTCAGAAAGCAAAACGACATTTTCGAGGAGCACATGTCGGCTGAACGTTACTCTGGGCGATCGATTGGCTTCAGGTCGTTGCGTTCTCAAACAACATTGGTAACGTACTAAACATAATATTACTATCGAAATAATAGCGCCGCAATGCGAGTTCGAGACTCCGCAAATATCACGAATCCAGTTCTAGCCCGTGAGCGCATTCTAACGTCGTATATTAAATTCTGGTTGCGTTGATAGGCATAATTCGCGAAGGTGGAGTACGCCGCACATACCGCGAGCTCATTACTGTCGTGCCACGCGTCATGACTGAAAACCACCGTTCTATTTTGTCGTCGTCGTCGTCGTCGTTGTCGCCGTCGGAATGACGATGTCACAACGGGGTCGGTAAACAGCAAGCACGGTTTTCCCAACTTTCAGGTAATTAAGTGCGTCGAAACTTGATTAAGGCTTATAATTGCGTTTTATAAGGAGACCCTGGGACGGCTTTTTGAAGGTTCTCGCTATGGTTTCTCGATGAGAACGCGGTCGGATACGTGACCAGATTGACAAGAGCGATGAGCTTAATTATCAATAGAGCTTAATACTTCGTATTCGAGCAGCTACACATTTGACCTCTACATTACGCTGCACAAAAAAAAAAAACGATTTTGCTGAAGCGTTCCACAAAATTACTTTCAGATTCGACTTCTAGCTAAACTTTTAGATGCTGTACAAAAAGATTCAAATTTAAATATCTAAAATGACAAGAGAGTATGTTAAAAAATTTGACGTGAGACGTGTTAGTTTTACATAAATGTAAAATATAACGCAAGCAGGCTCTTTTAAAGTGTAATATTTTGTAGTAATTATTTAAAATCAGAATGTGTAACACAATCTATTTGTGCTCCCTTTTATGTATCACGAAAAAGCAACGTGTATCTGAAACGCATGCTTCGATTTTCTTTACGCGCGAGAAAGCTTAAGCTTGTTAGCTGCCAGTTGCGAAATACTTAATCCTGTACAGTGTATTATCGCGTAACACGTATCCGCGCACATAACGGCGAGAGCCCGGTTGGTTGTGTTCACGTTATCACCTCGATGTGATAGAATCTACGCCGTTCTATATTCGTTCTATTTTATTATCCTTCTCTTTTGTCCTCGTTACCATGACGATGCGACGTTCGGAAGAGATACTGAAGTCATTCCCTGCGCAAATGACACTCGCTTGTCGATACACTCGCCGCTATCAATATCGATGTTGCTGATATAAAAATAATGGACGATAAAAATGAACAATGAGAAAAAAAAAGATGTTACCGCCAGGTCGCTCGCGATTGCGCCATTTTCGTGATGACATCGTCAGCATTGGAAGATCCGCTTAGGCGTAATTCGAATTCGCAGATAACGCCAATCAGTCTACGGCCGGCAACGCCAATGAGAATTCATCGGCATCGATTTCCGAGCAATTCGCGTCGAGGTATCATCGGACGGTCGCCGGCAGATTGGAAGTTGATGATAGAGGGTCGGAAGAGACGAACGATAAATCCGCCTAGCTTCGGCGACAATTAGCTAATGCACAAAATTGCTTCAGCAACACTGTTACGTAAACGTGACGTTTGCAGGCGGATCTTTTATAACGCGAAAACTTATACGTGTTGTTAATAAAATTTCGTTTCGCAATAATTTATTGACAATAAATTATTTTGGAG